TGTCTTCATGTCTCACTCTGTCTGATAACGTCTTCATGTCTCACTCTTGCAGATAATGTCTTTGTGTCTTACTTCGTCAGATAATGTCTTCGTGTCTCACTCTGATGCCTTCATGTCTCACTCTGTCCAATAACGTCTTCTGTCCACAAACACAGCTTTCAACCAAACATTACTCAGATTTTCCAAAATAATTTTAACTCTTCTGTCTTCTTCAGATCCAGATGTGATCAGGTCTGAGGACATGTCCTCCCTCTCACATCAGGACACGTCCAAATGATACTCCTAAATTCAACGTTTAAATTTTTCCACTTTATTTAGGTTTATTTATTTTAAAAAATTCTCCTGACAAAATATTTTAAAACATAATTAAATAAATAAAAGTGTCTCATTGTTTGTTTGTCCCAAAATAAATCTTATGATTAAAAATGTTTGTTATTTTTAAACTGAACGACCCAAAAATATTAAAAACAAAACAAACACGACAAAAATCAACAGAACATTAATCTACATTAACATCAAAGCAACAAAACTAGAACTTTAACAGATTAAAATACATTTAATTTAGTTGTTTTTTCAAATTGTAACTTTTATTTATATACCAATGAAAGAAACATAACAACAAACAAAAATAAACAAACAAGAACTTAGAATATAAATAATCAAGTTCAAGTTTATTGTCATTCATCACATGTTGAGGTGGAACGAAATTATGTACTCAGGGTCCCATCCAATAATAATAATAATAATAATAATAATAATAATAATATTATTATTATTATTATTATTATTATTATGCAAAAACTGTGATTGTAACTAGCGGAGGACCTTTAATCTGAAAGGAGAGGACCTTTAATCTGAAAGGAGAGGACCTTTAATCTGAAAGGATGTTTAAATGTAATTTTTATAAACAGTTGGATATAAAATATTTTTGTTTCATTAAAATCTTAAAACCTTGAGATAAAAACATGTTTGTTTTCTCTGACCTCAGATCACACACACACACACACACACACACACACACACACACACACTTGCATGCGCGTGCGCACACACGCGCACACACTCCGCAGCCCCACGCGTGGATCCTGGACTCAAACTCCTCACTTCAACTTTTCCTGAACCAGGACTGCAGACCACCTGGTCCAGACCGGACCTCCTTCAGTCGGACTCCTCTCTGAGCTGAGCTGGACCCGAACCCGTCCGAGCAGAACCGTGCGGGACATGCGGGGCTCGGAGACTTTGTTGGCCGTGTTTGCGGTGCTCTCGGTCGGACTGAGGAGCTCCGGAGCTCCGGGGGAGCTGGGGGGAGGCGCGGCCGGGGTTCGGAGCTCCGGACCGGCGGCTCGGTCCACCTGTCCGGACCGGTGTCGGTGTGAAGAGGACGGGCTGCTGCACCGGACCGACTGCTCGGACCGGGGGCTCCGGGAGGTTCCGAACAACCTGAGCGTCTTCACGTCCTTCCTGTGAGTCCAACCGAACCGAACCTGCTGGGTTTTAATCAATTTGGGCATTATTGTGTGAGCGTGCGTGCGCGCGCGTGCACAGGTGAGAATCTGAGCACCTGCACCTGGGCGCTTGTGCGCATGTCAGGTCGGGTTGGCGGTAAAATAAAGTTAATTATCAAACATTCAAACTTTTTCAAGTTTTAGTTTCAGCAGATCTTGAGGCTCCTCCAGGTCCAGACCAGGTCCCTCAGAGGTTCGACCCAGTGGTTCTGGTTCCGGTTAAGTAAAGAATTATTGTGTTTTTTTTTTACTTTAACCCAAAAAAAAAAAATTCAGTTTTGAGATTTTGTGGCTAAATACGACAATAAAGTGCTACAACCAACAATAAGACAGGTAGAAAATAAAACAGACTAAAAAGTAAGCCTCAAACAACCAGTCTCTGTGAAGTTGTGACACGAGCGTCACAAGGTTCTGATGGTCACACATGCTTATTTTTATGTTTCTGGTGTTTTATATGATAAGTTCTTGCAGTGGAAGTGGATGAGAGTTTGGTGTGTTCTTTACGTTCTTCACTTTGAGGGTGTCTGAGAAGAAACCATCCGTCCTCAGCAGAGACAAGTCAGAGACACCAGGAGACGGAGGACAGAAGTGGTAAAAGTGTTCGACACAGAACGAGAACTCAAACAAGAACTAAACCAGTTCTTTTTGGGACCTCAGGGTTGTCATTGGTTCTTAAAGACCTTCAAGAACTTCTTTACTAAGTTCTCGAGGTAATTTACTTGTTCTGGACGTGGGTGTTCGGGTCACGAAGGTTCTTGGAAAACTTAGCGGTTCACGAAAAGATGAAATAATTTTTCATAAAGTTTTAGAGGCTTAGATGTTCTTGAAGCTCTTGAACTCAGAGTGAGGAGGGTTTCAGAGACGCTTCGGGGTACCAGACTGTTCTTCAGGTTCTTTAGGATCAAAACACGGCTGTAGAGAACAGAAACAAGTTGATTGGAACATCTTAGCTTCTTCAAAGATGGTTGAAAGAGAAGAACATCGGCTTCTGGAAAGAACGTTCAAACTTTTTTAGAAGGTTTGAAGAGACATCATAAAACGTTCTCCAGAAGTTCCAAGAACATTCAGAACTATTAGAGGATTTAAGATGTTCTGGTTGCATCTTAAACCCAAACCAACTGAATAACCTTTCAAAGGGCTGAAGATGATGTAAGTTCACGTAGAACAAGAAGTTTTATATTAATCTAGAACTTCTTTAAAGATGTTCTAGGTATTTCTAGGAGGTCTGAAGAAGTTCTAAGGAGAACCTCTAAGGTTTAAAGATGATCAGTCTCTCCTTTACCCAGACCTTCTCTAAACCCATCATGTTCTTCTCATGTTCTCATCCTCTAGAACCAATGACAAATCTTGAGGAAGTTCTTGAACACTGATGTTCTACCAAAGTTCTCCTGAGTTCTGGTCCAAAGTTCCCCTCTCTGAACAGAACGGGACTTTAAAAATATCTTCAGATGTTTTTTGGACCACAGCGTTTGAAACATTCTGAAGGTTCTGTCTGAGGAACTGTGTGGGCCCGGGGGTTAACGTGGCGTAAATAAGTCTCTAGTTCTGAGAGACGTCGGAGGACTTGTGGAGTCTTTAAGTGTCCGGGTTAAGGTTTCCTGAATTAGCGTAAGTGGTTCCAGGAGTGTCAGGTGTCCCGCTGGAACCGATCTGAGGAGTTCTGAAGAAGTTCTCAGCATCAGGAACGGTCCTAGTTTGTTTCTTCTGGACAGGAACATGAACAGAACCGGAGCTCAGCTCCCAGCAGGTGCAGCTCCGGGACATCACCGGGCCGAGCTCAGACAGAACCATGACATCATGGTGCAGAAAGAGAACCTGCTCGTTTCACAGCAGAACAATGTCCTGGATTCAAGTTTCACTCTCATTCAGGAGAACGGCTTCTTTTCAGAGTTTCTCTGCAGTTTGTCTGCCGCACAAAACCACACGAAAACACAAAACCTGTGAGCGACAGTCCATCAGAGGGTCTTTGTGTCTTTACTAGAACTTCAGTCAGAACCAAACACATGGAGGAGGTTCTTTAAGAGCCCAAAGCTGCGTTCAAAACGTCTTTTTCTCAAACAAACGTCCAGGAACGCAGCAACTTCTGGAATAAATTAGATTCTTGATTTGTTGTTGTGGTGAGGCCCGAAGACGGGAGTCGAACAAACCAGATCAATGTTTTATAACGTGAGAAATTAAAAAGATTAACTGTTGAAGGGCGTAAAGAGCACAATAGACCTGTCATAATAAATCAATTAATCGCATGATAAACTTATCAACCTCATTTTCATTTATCAGCTTTATCGTTTCTTCGTGTCTCTCTTTCTACTGAAGACACTGGATGAGAAAAGGCTCAACGCCGGTTCTTCACTGATCCTCCCTTTCTCTTTAAAATCTGTTTTAATGATCCACAGTCGTGTTTTATGGAGCGTTAAAAGCAGCTAAGCTACGAGCTAAGCTAACAGGCCGACCTCGGGGGAAATAACCTCCGTCTTGTTGAAGCTCCAAAATTCACGGTTGAAACTCGTGCCTTCGTGTCAAATGTTGTTTATCTCTGCAAAAAGAAGCTGAGAACTTGTTTACTGATTTTTTTATTAAAAGCTTTGTGTGAAAAATGCTAAAGAGCTCAAACCACACCGAGCGTCCGCCATTTTGAGAAACAGAGAGACAGCCCATGTCACGTCAAGGGGCCTCCCTCCCATTTATCTTAAAGAGACGCTGCTCGCTCCCTCACTATCCATCCTTCGGTTCAAACAGTCTTATGCTGCCATCCAGTGGTCAAAAAGGTACTACACTCAAAACAAATTAACAAACATTTCTTCTTAAATTTGACAATAATTATTGTCAAATTTCAAGCAATATTATTGTTTATCGCAATAATTTATGAGACAATTAATCGCCCAGTAAATGTTGTTATCGTGACAGGCCTAAGCACATTCTCAATAAACTGAACCCAGAAGCATCAACATCCTCCTTCAAAGTAAAACTGGAAGTAAAAACCTTAAGAAACAGCATTTTAAGTAAACAAACTTTGTTCAGCCTTTTTACCTGCTTACAAAGGAGAGTTCTTTTTAATTAATTAAATAAAACTAAATATGCCTTTGGTCATTTCTAAAGTCAAACGTTAAGTTGCCAAACATTAATTAAAATAAATGAATTATATTTTTTATTATAAACTAATTACAGCTTTTGTGATATCTGAATTAAACTGTCACACGTGTCGTCGGGCAGACCGGCACCATAAACTTAACGAAAACATGTTCTGCAAAAACACTGGAGGATCGCCGAGTTCTGAATGACTTTATTAAAGAAGGAGAAACTCAGCTGAAGAAATACATCAGCTAAAAGTAGAAAACATTAGCTAAAAGCTAAAAAAATAAGTAAAATCTAGCAAGAAAATTAAGTATTAATGAAATGGTAGGTAAAAATGGCAAAGGTTAGCTAAAAGTAAATGTAGCAAAATGCTAATCAATGAAACAAAATGCCAGCTAAAATTTGTAAAGCGTGACACCGTTTGACCACGGCGTTCAAAGCCAGCTCGTTATTCCCAGGTGGAGAGGAGGCTCGTGCCAACACGAATAACAACAAGAAAGAATAAAGTTTTAACATTTAATTAGGCAGATTAAAGGTACAGAGTTATTGCAGCCAGTGGCGGCTGGCCACTAGAGGGCGTCAGGGCGCTCTCTCACCACATTATCTTGAATAAGACATTAAAAAATTAAATAATAAAATAATAATGTTTCAAAATATATGTGTGTATATATAAGTTGTTTTGTTCAAAAATGTTTTCTAATTGGTGACGAATTTCTGCCCTGCGGAGCAAAAATCTTTGCCAGATTCTCTTTAAAAGTTGTACGTGCACACTAGCTCGTCTTCAATACAAAAGATAGGACCATTCTGGGGCGCACCTCTCCTGCGCCCAGAGCTGAACACATGGTACGGATCGTGCTTCCGGAACAGATCGTGCAGTGACGCTAAAAACCAGGCTATGTGTTCAGGTCTCTCTTGTAAATGAGTCCCCGAGGCTCAGTGGGATTAATCTGTATAAATAAAGGTTGAAAGTGTAAGCGAGGCTAGCTGCTGCAGGTAAGCTTTAAGCCATTGAAAGCCCTTTATCTAATGCCTATGTTGCCATTTCTGACTGATAGGCCTCTCAACTTTTAGCTCTCTGTTTGCATTCAGCATTAGTAGGCTTTGTAGAATTAGCATTAGCAGTCTTAGCGTTAGTAGAATGAGCATTAGCAAACTTAGCATGAATAAATTAGCAATAGCAGTTAGCATTAGCAGACTTAGCATTAGTAGAATTAGTATTAGCAGTTAGCATTAACAAACAACATTACTAGAATTAGCACTTAGCATTAGCAAACTTAGCATAATAGAATTAGCATTAGCAGTTAGCATTAGCAGACAGCATTAGTAGAATTAGCATTAGCAGACAGTGTTAGTATGCTAAAATACATTTTTAAAAGAAGTGTTTCTGAAATATTTTTGAAGTGGTCTCAGTTTGTTATCATTGATAAATGTTTTGTAAACAAGGTCAATATTTTAAAAGTATAAACAACCAAAAGTCACAGCACGCATCTCTTGATAAAATGGAATATATAAAAACAAAAACTAGCCCATCTTGAAGGAATGCATATCGCCCGCCGCCTTACTTCCACAAGTTTTAATGGAAGATGCTGCAGATTATGTGTGAGCTCTGAGTGTGTGTTGGGGATGACCCTCAGCTACCACCACACCCATTTTAGTTAATAAAACTGACTGAGTGCGTTTTAGCAAGTTTTGTGTTTGTTTGATCAGCTGTGGCGGCCATCTTGAATAGGGTTTGCATGTAGATGATCAGACACAAACATTTGTTTTGGAAAATATATTTATCTGATGATAAACAATAAATAAACCTAAATGAATTTGTTTTGAAAGCATCTGAGCGACTTCCTGTCAACATTCAGAGCTCCGCCCACCAACGTCAGATCAGATCA